ATGGCTCAGAGAAAACCATCTTTTAATAGTGTCTTCACCAATAAGCTTGATGTTGAGGAGCTTGAGATGCTTTTGGAAGCATACTTTGTTCAAATTGATGGAACTCTCAACAAGCTTTCCACGATATCCTTGCTATGTTCCAGTTACTTGTTCTATACTTAGCTTTATCTCTTTGTTTTGTTAACAAAATAACAGATACAAATTCAATAGTTCAATTCAACAAGTTAAAACACAAATGCAAATGCAGTAGTTACATTTTTATGCCTTTTGATCTAGTTGGGTAGAGTAGCTTAATGAATATGTCGTAAACACACAATATTTGAAAAGCAAAGCACCGTTTCCATCTCGAATAATGATTGGAATGACAGGACTTTCTGGTTTGTATTTGAGGGCTTGGATTGATTGTAATTCATCTATTTTTGCTTGCAAAACATTAGTATTAGACAGTTATAAAATAGTTGCTATGACTCGGGGGATGCTTATGAAGCCTCATAGCCGGGTTATAATCTCCTCAAATGTACTCGCCCTAGTATCCTGCATACAGACTGATACGAATTGACACATGTCTTATAGCACCCAAAAGGCTATTGGGGCCAAATACTCCTTACCCTACCTTAGCCGAACAACCTAAAAATTCTGCTAAAATACAGTTGTATAGCTAGGGGAACAGAAGGGGGGCCTATAAGGAGAAAGAACTGAGGAGCTAAACCTAAGTCATTCATTCAGATTTTACCCTAAACACTTGACCTTGAGCATGACACATTGTTGGCAGAGGTCCTAAATATTCCACACAGGAATAAATTAATATTATGGGATTTAGGATACCTAGTTTATATAAATGCTACTGATTTTCTATCTAATATGGTTATCATATATGTTTGTTTGAAAGAATATAGTTTACTTTAGATATAGAATTGACTTGTCTATTGCTGACACCTTGTTATTTGTTGGTTGTTGTGTTGAAGCTGACGGAGTATGTCGATGACACAGAGGATTACATCAATATTATGCTGGATGACAAACAGAACCATCTCCTCCAAATGGGAGTCATGTTGACCATGGCAACTCTGGTAGTGAGTGCCTTTGTTGTTGTGGCTGGTGTTTTTGGCATGAATATTCATATTGAACTGTTTGATAGTGACAAGTACGGGACAAGAGAGTTTATGTGGACTGTTGGTGGTGGCACTGCTGGAACCATATTCTTGTATGTGGTTGCGATTTCTTGGTGCAAGTATAAACGCTTGCTAGAATAAGCAGCACTCTATTTTGTTCTAAACAATAATGTAATTTAATTGGAAACACATATTCTTGTATGTTTATTTCTTGGCCAATTAATGTACATCGTTGTCGTCGCACATAGCTTTCATTTACAAACAAATTCTTGATTCCCTGATATGCTCCATCATTCTGCAGGTGTTTGACAGTCCTAGATCTGGTGGCTTGATATTTATTGAATTCGTCGTCAACGGTAACAAACTGTCCTTAGCCGTAAATATGTCTCGACATCACTGAGCTTCATACGTCTCTGGTGAGCACAGGTACTACTGAAGGTTCTAGTTAAGCTGCAAATTCAACTTATAATGTACTCTAATGGTGTAAGATTGAACCATGCTTGCTCGTTATTACCAAGATCTTTTATTTCCGACACCAATGCACTTAATCTTTATATCCTGAGAGACTTTAGATGCTCAGCTATAACTACCATCTATTAATGCTCAGCTATAATTACCATCTATTAAGCAGACGAGTTGAACTTTAGATGCTGAAAATTCTTTCTGACTCAGTTTGCTAGCAACTTTCCTAGCTTTCAAAGATTAAACTAATTTTCAAGCATGCTCCAAGTTTTAAATGTAATTCCTAGTACTTTTGTAAAATTTTCTTACTAATTTATTAGACGTGCAGGCCAAGTGAGAGTAATCAGGTTTGTGATTAATGGTTATATGTTTGTTTGTTCCCCTTCACATTAATGTTGCAGCCTGCTGTTGCACAACATTCAATGTGAAATAATCTCACCATATTCTCTGCTAACTTCAGTTCTCGTTTTGTTTTGACAATTATTTCAGTTCTAGTTGATAAATAATTATACTTGTAATTGAAGAATTGTTACGAGTTGATTCTGCTAGGTTGATTGTTAAGCATTCAAATTTATTGTGTATTTTTACTTGGAAAGCAGAGTAGACGTGCAGTTCTTTTGGAGTTCTTGTTGTTCCATTTCATGCAAGACAATGCTGTGGAGGCATATCAGCTTGCTCTATGGTATGTTATATTAAAATTTAATGCTTAGCCCTTTACCTGTAGGGAGCCTTGGCACAATAATTATAGTTACTTTCATCATCGAAAGTTGAACTCTGTTCTGTTGATGATGCTGCTGATGAAATCTCACAACAATCAGAAAGACGCAAGGGTGGCCATATCACCATGCCTTTCATCATCGATATCATTTCTATTTATTACTTTTTGAATGAGTTTGAATTTTGTTGGTGTATACAGTATGGTATTGTTGTTTGTTGAAGCAAATGAGGCGTTTTCAAGTATGGCCAGTGTGGGACTATCGCCAAACATGATTATTTATTTGATGGGAAGTTACAGACTTCATCTTGGAAATGCTACTCAGATTCTTCTCTTATCTTCTGCAGCCAACAATTTCACGCCTGTTATTGGCGCCTTTCTTGTAGATTCTTATTTGGGTCGATTCTTGGGTGTTGGATTAGGTTCTGCTGTCACTTTCCTGGTATGTATAAACGTCGAAATTGCAATCACATAGTAACAACTCTAGTTCTGTATTACTACTTGGATGAGTTAAGATTTCCGTGGTTTATTTGATGCTTTGTTTTTGTTGTCTAGGGGATGACATTGCTGTGGTTAACAACCATGGTCCCACACGCAAGGCCTCCAGCTTGTGTACATCCAACAGAAGGCTGTAAATCAGCAACAAAAGGTCAAATGGCAATGCTACTCTCTGCATTTGGTCTAATGTCAATTGGAAATGGTGGTCTTTCATGTTCCATGGCGTTTGGTGCTGACCAAGTGAATAGGAAAGATAATCCAAATAGCTATAGAGTCTTGGAAACATTCTTCAGTTGGTATTATGCTTTCACAATTATTGGTGTCATAATAGCTATTACAGGAATTGTATACATTCAAGATCATCTCGGTTGGTTCTACCATTAATCAAATACTTTTTCAAATTTATTGTTCTAGCATTGTGTGTTATTAAGTTTTACTTCATGGAAAAGCTTGGACATTCATCATCTGTATTTGTGATCCTATCTTGATTCAGGGATTTGAGGCATATGTTGATTTGAGGGATTTGAGTTATAAAATTTCATTTTTTTAAAAGAATAAATAAAGGGCATTAATAGCGCTTTTCTAGAAAGTGCTATTAAAGATAGTGTATTATAATAGCGCTTTGTTAGAAAGTGCTATCAAAATTAAAGCAATTTATCGGTATTTTAATAGCGCTTTGTTTGAAAGTGCTATCGAATATGTGGATTATAATAGCGCTTTGTTTGAAAGTGCTATTAAATATGTGTCTTATAATAGCGTTTTATTTGAAAGCGCTATTAAATATGTGTATTATAATAGCGCTTTGTTTGAAAGTGCTATCAAAATTAAAGCAAATTACCGGTACTATAATAGCGCTTTGTTTGAAAGCGCTATCAAATATGTGTCTTATAATTGCGATTTTGGAAAAACGTTATTAAATACAGGTACTATAATAGCGCTTTTGGAAAAGCGCTATTAATTACCAGTAATATAATAGCGCTTTTAAAGCGCTATTAAAAATTTTGTTTTACAATAGCGGCTTGATTAATAGCGCTTTAAAACGCTATTAAAAAGCAAAAAAAACGCTATTATAAAGTTTTTTGTAGTAGTGGTAATCACCAACACTAAAGGCTTTCGACTTAACCTTTTTATTGTAGATGTTAGCTATTCTTTCCTTTTGCCTTATAGGAACGTTCAAAGTAGTTAATCTTTCATCATCTATATTCTATTTTTCTTACCTTTCTAGTTCGACTTGCTAAATATCAAAAACTCGTGTTGATGAATGCAATCACTACTCTAAAATTTTAATTAATACGGATTTAGACGAATATTAGATCCTTCACCTAATAAAAAAGACAACAACACAAACAAATATAATTACAAAAGATGTGTAGTGAAATAAATGAAAAATAATTATACTACATTTAAATACTCTTCTATTTATAGAAAGTCAATAAACAAACAAATGGAGGAAGGTGTTATACCACATAGAGTGGTCAAAAACCCTTTCACTAACTCAATGAAAAAAAAATAAAAAATTGATGGTTGAGGGTGCGGAAAAAATTGAACCCCTATAACCACACACAATCACACATGAATCAGGAGAGCCGTACCATCTAGAAGTGTCTGGCCTTGGGGATCCAAACTAGAAGCAACGTGATATCTTCAAGGAAAGTTTCGTCACTTTTTTTGTTGAATACTTTTTCTAAATATCATAACTTGGCTCTGTTTTCTTTAAATAAATATTGAAATTATATGAAATTAAAGTTAAGCAAATGTTATGGTTAGGTGGATTATTTTCACACGTGTGTTCAAACGTGAACCAAGACTTAAAAAATCATTTAAACTCTAACTATGAAAAAAGTCGACTTCTAAAGTTGAATTTTGCGGTAACTTTTTTTTTGCAATAAGTAACATATGAGAATGACGTAGGTGAAGAATATTAGATTGACCAAAACAAAAAAGTTTAATTCAACTCATCGTTCAATGGCGATTATGATTTGCTTTTATGTAAGTTTCAATTTTCCACGAAGGAACCTGTGATGGAAAGAAGAAGATCATCTTTCTTCCCGTGTTGACCCTGCCTCTCTCATCATCGTCTATGCTTGCTATAAATAAGCTTCAAATAATCATCTTTCTTCACTTCATAACTTTATTTCAATTTAAAATTTCATCTCTTCCTTTCACTTCTATTACAATTACCATCAAGAATTCTTCTACCTTAAATTTGGACAATGTCAGTGAAGGTCAGTACTCAGTAATAGCTAAACCTGATTTTTTGCGTTTCTTATGCAAAGTTTAAACCATGAATTTTCAATCCTAACTAACAAGTACTTGAATTTCTGTGTGACAGAAAGTAGTGTTAAAGTTGGAGATATATGAAGACAAAATCAAGCAAAAAGCTATGAAAGCTGTCTCTGGCCTTTCAGGTGTTTATTTGGATGGAATTATGCTTTTCTGTTTCGTCAATTTAAATTATACTGAATTGAATTGAATTGTTTTAGTGATATACTCAGATTTTATTTGTAATATTGTTGCAGGGGTTGAGTCAGTTGAAGTGGACATGACAGACAAGAAATTAACCTTAAAAGGGGACACTGATCCGATGAGTGTAATGGCTAAGGTAAAGAAAATTTGTCATGCAGAATTAATTTATGTTGGACCAGCTAAAGAGGAAAAGAAAGATGAACCTAAAAAAAAGGATGATGAAAAGAAAGACTCAGAAAAAGAAAATGTGATTAATCCTTACGTGTTTTATGGAACACATCCCTATTATAATCATCACATCATGATACCACAATACAATCCTAATTACTGTGTTGTTAGTGTTGAAGAGGTTCCTAATAGCTGTGTTATCATCTAAATTTTATGTATTATATTTTACAAGTAAATAAATAAAACAAAAATTTATGAAGAAGAGTGTTGATTATAATATGAGGCTAGACTATTCTTTTGTATTTCACATTTTTAACCTATATTTTTTACACTTCAACTAATTTTTTTTGAGAATATAACAAGTGCGAGTAGTGTGGCTAATAGTCTCGCATTTATTGAAAATGTGGAGACTTAAGAATTTATAAGTGAGAGAATTCACTCATTCATCACTTTAAGGTTTTATGTAAATATGCGATGTCTATTTCACAAAGGTATTGCTAAAAAAGAAGTCTCACAATATTCAATGCTCTCTAGTTGAAACACTCCCCCAATACATGATATCCGAGTCTGGTTAGAGTGGAGGGACCGACTTACTTTATGAAGAAGAACACTCTGTCTATTTCACAAAGGTATTGCTAAAAAAAGAAGTCTCACAATATTCAATGCTCTCTAGTTGAAACACTCTCCCAATACATGATATCCGAGTCTGGTTAGAGTGGAGGGACCGACTTACTTTATGAAGAAGAATGTTGATTACAAGAGAAGTCTCACAATGTTCACCTCCCGCACGAAACATTACTTACTCACCGCCTTTGTGGCGCCGTTGACACTCTTCAATAACTTTCAATACAAATAAACCGACCCCTTTCTCGAACCAAAGACTCATGTTACCATGAGTTAAGGGAGTTTTACATTAGGGAGCATTGAATATTATGAGACTTTCTTTTTAAAGCAACACCTATGTGAGAGATACATCACACATTTCCAACCAAAACCTTAAGGTGATAGGTGGTTGGGTTCTCTCCCTTATAAATGCTTATGTCTCCACATTTCCAACCAATGTGGAACTATTACCAAACTATTCACACTTAATATATTCTCAACAACTCTTTATGAATTTGTTGGAAATGTGGAGACTTAAAAATTTATAAGTGAGAGAACCTACCCACCTTTATGAAGAAGAGTGTTGATTACAAAAAAAGTCTCACAATGTTCAATCCTCCCGCACGAAACATTTCTTACTCACCACCTTTGTGGCGCCGTTGACACTCTTCAATAGAACGTTTCTTACTCACCACTATTATGACACTGTTGACTTTCGATACAAATAAATCATCGCCTTTCTCGAACCAAAGGCTCATGTTACCATGAGTTGATGGAGTTTTAAACTAGGGAGCATTGAACATTATGAGACTTCCTTTTTAAAGCAACACCTATGTGAGAGATACATCTCACATTTCCAACCAAAACCTTAAGGTGATAGGTGGATGTGTTCTCTCTCTTATAAATACTTAAGTATCCACATTTCCAACCAATGTGAAACTATTACCACCACTATTCACACTTACTATATTCTCAACAACTCTTTATTTATATAGAATTTTTTTCTATTGACAATAATTATCTAGAAAAATGAGTGATTGGATTTACGGATAACAAATGTGTTATGTAGGAAATAAATGTTAAGAAAATGTGAAAACTTGGAACCATGCTTGTGTGTCTATTTGCTATTATTTGTTGAGATTTGTTTATCGTATTGTTCCCTTGAAAAAAATGTTTTGTAAAGATCAATCAATATGTTTAAAAATAGATCGATTGTGATTAAGACCTTTAATATTGTTGATATTGGCTCTAAAAGAATGCTTGGATCCTTAATTCTAGTGTTACTCATCACATAAAATTTGATTTTCAACATATTTTGAAGATTATTTCTTTTTCTAACATTCTGCATATTATATATGTAGATTGTTTTCATACTCAAGTGATAATACTCGTTAAATGCTAAATTATAAACTTATAATTATTTATCCTTAAATCAATTACTTAGTTTGAACAATCACTTGCACTCTTACTTTCATGAGCCCATCATCCATATCTATTGTCGTTCTCGTTGTATTCATGAAAGATCGACCAAGAATCAAAGGAGCATCATCGTCTTTCTCCATGTTGACTAATTGAAAAAATTGATCAACTTTCACTAAAACATCTTCAGCTACACCGTAAGGATGGGTAATAGATTTATCGGCTAATTGAAAAGTCATTCTTGTTGCCTTGAACTCCATGTGTCCTAACCTTTTCATAATGGATAACGGTATCAAATTAATACTAGAGCCCAAATCAATCAACCCATTACCAACAGAAACATTTTCAATTGACATCGGTAAGGTAACTCTTCCCGGATCACTTTTGATTCTGTGGAAGAGTTCGTTGAATAATCGAACTACAACTAGCATCAACCCTTATTGTTTCTTGATCCATGTACCACTTCTTTTTGGCGAGAATATCTTTCATGAATTTTGCATAAGTATGCATTTTCTCTAATGCTTTGGAGAATGGAATATTAATTTGTAATTGACTAAAAATATCCAAAAATCGAGCATAATGCCTCGCATTATACTTTTTGGTCGGATCATGCGGATAAGGTAGATTTTGAATTGGGATATTGCTCACTTGTTTCTTCCCCTTTCTATTCTTTTTCTTTTTCTCTTCTCTCAAATTCTTTTCTACTTTCTCCTTTTCTCTTTTCTCCTTTTCCACTAAGTCATCCTCCACATTTTTTCTTCTACTTCACTCTCATCAATCTCTTTTTCTTTTTCTTTTTCAACTACTTCCTCCTCTCCCACAATTTCCTCACTAATGCCCATATAAATTTTTCTTCCACTTCGAGTAAGAATAGCTTTGCAATGCTCTTTTGGACAAACTTGAGTTTTCGTTGGAAAAGCCCTTTTGTGTTGGTCGGCTAATTATTTAGACAATTGACTGACTTGCGTCTCAAGGTTCTTTATAGCCACATCGGTATTCTTTTGATTGGGCATCGACATTTGCATAAATTGAGTGAGTGTATCTTCCATTTTTGAGGCTCCACCTTGAGTTTGTGGAGGTTGAGTGTAGTTTTAATATTGATTTTGACAATTTGAAGTGTTGGCATCTTGCCTCCATCCTTGTTGATAACCTTGGTTATTGCCTCTTGGTTGGTAACCTTTGTTGTCTTGTTGATACGGAGGTTGTCTCGGTTGATAGTCTTGATTTTGATTTTGGTTTCCCATGTAACTCACTTCCTTTACAACCGAAGGATAATACTCGGTAGGATGGTCTCCCTTGCATAAATTACAACTTGAAACTTGTTGATTTTTGTTGAGAACTTCACGCATCTCCTTGATTTGTTGTGGAATTTTTGACATTTGTTGTGTCAACAACTCTACTTGTTGTGAAAGCAACTTATTTTGCACAAGAATAACTTCATTCATACCGAACTCAAGCACTCCTGGCTTCCTTTGAGGTGTACAACAGTTATGTTGACCTTGATGGTCATTGAGTGCCATCCTATCAATGATGGCAACTATGTGTTCCGCACTCTTTGACATTAAATATCCACCCGAGGTAGCAGCATCTAAGAGAGTTTTATTAACCGGTTGGAGTCGATTCTGAAATATATGCACTTGTGTAAGATCATCAAACCCATGGCATTTACATTTCCACAACATATATTTGAACCTCTCCCATGCTTCATTGAGCGATTCATTACCACCTTGAGCAAATACAGAGATTGTCGTCTTAGCCTCCATGAATCTATTATGCGGAAAAAATCTTTCAAGAAACTTCTCTAAAAATTCCAATCTGACATAACAAGAGTAGATTGGTCAAGATACCATTCCTTAGCCTTCCCTATCAAGGAGTGAGGGAATAACATCTTGAACAATGATTCCTCTTCCGCTTTCGGGGCTCCCGTTGCTCTCGCAATTTCATAGAACATTGTAAGATGAGTGAACGGGTCTTCGTGATCTAGCCCGTTAAAGGGATTTGAAAATAAGAGTTGAGGGATTACGAAAGATCTATTTTATAGTAGTGTCTCCAAAGTCTAACCCTTCCAATTTCTGAAACTTGCCTTGTTAAAGATAACCTACGTGTCTAAAAATCAATTCACAATGCTTTTAAACCATGACACAATTTTCAAAAAAATCTAAAAATCATGCCACAATACTTTTGGGTCGCATGACGATGTCTTGTATTCACTAGAGTTCTTTCCTTTGTCATCTTTGTTCAATTTCTCAAATAATACTCAATTTTTTTCTTAAAGCTAAGATCTTAGGACTAATATATAACCACTCAAAAAATGCTTGTAAAACTTACTTGATGACAAACTGTCATCCTTAGGTTTATATCCCTCATGTAAACATTGAAAATTGAAATTAGGAAATGTTACATCACCAAAACTGCACGATTATATGAATTATATAAGTAGTGTTTTAGTTTCAACGATTTTCTTTACTCACTCTTCTTCTCTATTATATTCGTTGACACCTTGTAACCCTAACCCTAATGACTCTTTTTTTTATCTTATCTCATATGAAATTTAACCTTGGCACCTAAAAAGTAAAATAGATTTAAAGCTACCACAAGTACCAAAGCAACTCATCCCATCAATATTCTATTAATAATCGAAGAGGGGGTAACTAGGTTAGCATAAGAGATCCACTATTTATGAACAAATTGGCTTTGTTTTGCATATTTTAGTTTGTCTTTATTATTTTACTAAATAGTTTGAAGCAATAACTTGTGTTGCTAATGACTCTGTCATTATGGTTTATGTTTTGAAAATAACATTTTTTCTAGGGTTGGGGTACCCAATATTTTAATTAGCAATGGAGGATAATACACTTACAAAGACAATTTTGAGAATGGAAAGTCTGAAAGTGACCATGCCATATCATCCACAAACAAATTTAAAAGTTGAAGTATGCAATAGACAACTTACGAAAATTCGGGAGAAAGCAGTTAATTCATCAACTTTGAGGCCTGGATTCTAGCTTTAAGGCCTTCTCAACTTTGAGAAACCCAATTAAGATTTAAGACAAAAGTTCAATGTGTACTATTTTTATTCTTACTATGAATGTCTTGATGAATATGAGAAATAATCTAGAATTTTCCTCATTTCTTTACGACTAAATTTATCATGTTATCACACACAAAGACATATTTTTTCTTGGT